ACCATGGAGCCACGCCGGCCAGGCTAGTCTTCTTTTTAGATAGCTCCTTTGAACCCTTTCCCAATCCAACTCATGCACTTAAGCTCTTTATGTGGCTTTTTTTCCCTCCAATTTGACAGTCTTAATTCCCTAGCAGAGACCAACACACTGAGTTGGACAGATGGCCAGCAAGGACAATCACGATGATGGTGAGAGTGGCTGTCTTCTTTTCCTTATTCTGTGGGTCACTAGGAGAATGCTTCTCTGAGCACAGGTGCGTCTCAGTCCTCTGCTTGTCTGTATCTGAAAGGGGCCAGGAACGGGGGCTGGCCCTTAGGAATCCAGCGTTTCTCTCTAGGCCAGTCAGCTGCTTAGAGGTTTTGGAAGCAGAAGAATCCTGCCATCACCAGCTCTGCAAATGGATCTCAGCAGGCTTTATAATGCTAGGTCCCTGGGAAAACATGTGAATGTGTGTGTGCATGTATATACTGAGGGTGGACTTGTTGTTCGTGGGCATGCTAGCTGGTAATTAGCCAATCAGGGGGGACCTAGAGCTTCCAATTCACTTTATATCCCCAAAGAAAGGCATCTTTGGAGAGAAAGAGAACCTGAAGTAATTGCTCAGTGAGAGATGTCCCCAAAGGTATGCATCTTGAGTGTGTTTGCATGACCGGAGGGGGTGGGTAGAGTAGGAGGTTATTCAAGGGTTCTGGTTCTTTAGATTACATCCAGCTAAAACTTGACCAATGCATTTCCTGCTCTGCTGGGGATCCCAGCTTTCCATCTCCTGGCTGGCAGTGAGCTAAGCAGCTTCAGGTTTATGGAAAGTTGTTTGAGGCCACTTTTGATGTGCGGTGTGTGAGTGTGTGAGTGTGTGTGTGTGTGTGTGTGTGTTCACAAAGGCAAATCTCCTTCTTGTTCTATTGGGAGCTTCATGTCCTAGAGCCAGTGCTTTGTGACCAAGAAGTATTTTGAGAAGGTGAAATTCCTAAGCTCTCCTTTGCTGCCCCTCTGCCTTCCTTCCTTGGCCGACAGCCCATCCTAGGGAGCCCTGCCACTCTCCCCACTGCTTGCACTCCTGAAAGAACAGACATCTTCACTGCAGTCTCAGAATGCTGGCGATTGTTTGTAGTAGATGTTTCCATGACACTCATTTAGGTCTTCTGCAAATGCAACTGTACTGGGGGAGGGGACGAGGCGCGGTTACAGTAGGGAGACCGGGAAGTATGAAGACCTTCCCTGCTCATCTGTCTTCTTCTGTGGGAATCAGAAGCCCACCTCCCCCTTTTTCTGTAGCTCTCTGTTCCAGACCCCTACGCTGCTCCCCAAATCCATCTTGGCTCCATGCTGCTCACAGGGGGCTAGGCCCCAGCTAGGTAGGGAGGGGAGGAAACTTGTGCATGAGGAAGCAGCCTTTTATAGACGAAAGGAAAAAATGAAAAACTTTGATTGTTCAAAGTTGAGATTTAGTAATGATGAGCAACGCTGACCCGCACTGGGGGTGGCAGTGTGTGTGTACAGTGTGTTCCAGAGGCTGTTCTATGACACTCCTCCTGCAGCTGAACCAGTGACTCATTTGAAATCTTAGCGACTTCCAGAGGTCATTTTAGTCATTGCCCTGCCTTCAGGCTGGGTGGATGAACTTAGCATCACGTCTGGGTAGGAGGGGTGCGTGGCCGAGGCAAGCGCGTCCGCGTGTGGAAGGCGGTGGGGGTGGGGGAGGTTGCGCGTGACCTCTTCGACAAGATCTCCAGCAAAGGACATTCCCGAGCTTTCCCAGGCTCCCCGTTCCTGGGTTTCCCCATCACTGAATCAGCATCCTCCTCCCGGGAATTGCTTTTCGCTGGATGGAAACCGGATGTTGGGTTCCCTGGGTGGGCGGGGACGACGTCCCCTCCGAACTGTCATGGGTAATGTGAGACTCCCAGGGTCCCACGATCGAACCAGAAAAGCTATCATTTCCTTCAGCAGAAACTTGCCTTGCAGTGTGAGCAGAGAGAACAGAGCAGAGCCGCTACAACGCCTTCTCTCAGGCAATGCGCATGATTCTGCGGCTCTGGGCTGGCGACACTTCAACGCACCTTGAAATGGGCTCGCCTCCCCGGCCGTGACGGGCAGACCTCCGAGCCAATCGG